AGTTCTCAGGGGTGTAGTTCTCTGCCTCATGCACTTGCCTTTCCCAACCCTCTGATCCAGTTCCACCCAAGTCCGCGCCACCCAGTCCCCAGTAATATCCCAGTCCCCCCCCCCCCCAAAAAAAAGGTTGTAGACTTTTATCTGATATGGGTTTCGGGGGACAGCCATGAAACAGCTGTGGTTTGTCCTAAATCCTAAAGTGGCCGTGTCAATGAATTACTATTTTTACATTTTTTAAGCCCCCCCTCTAAATAAATAAATAAATAAATAAATGGATGGATAGATAGATAAATAAATAAATAAATAAATAGGACACATTCCATGATAGCAGGGTGGGTACTTTTAGATCCAAAAGATCTACCCATGAGCCTCTAAGGTGCCCCCCCCCACACACATATAAAGGTGTGACAGGGCCAGGGCTTGCCAGGGATTATGGGTACGTACTTGCCTTTTATTAGAGGCACATGTGATGGAAATGGGGGAGAAGATGCTGGCAGTCTGAAAAACGACTGCTGTGGGTTTTCCAGCCCAGTAGAGTTATGGAAGTTCGGAGATGGAGAGCGTTGCTATGTTTGGGGCGGCTGTGCTTTATTCGAGGCGTCTCATAGGGGTGCAGATGGGCCTCTCCGGGTCGCCCGTCCTGGGATGGGCCCGATCCCGCCCACACGCCCCCGGAGTCGACTGCCTGCTGGAGGCACGGCCTCCATTTCCTAGATGGATAATATCTGTGGCCTTGGGACTCTCCTGGGGGAGCTATTTTAATAGGGGGTGTTATAAGCAGAGCACCATGCTTTGATGACGTCCCTCTGCTCTGCTTCCCTGAAAGCTGCAGTAATGAGAGCTGCCTTTGGATGCACTTGAAAGGGGGGAGAGTTTATTGACATGATTCTGTTTCCCAGCAGGTTTTGATCAGAGTGTGTGTGTGTGTGTGGGGGGGGGGGTGGTGTTAAGGTGTCTGCTTTTTTATTTTTTAATACACAAGCTTGCTTTTGTGAATACAGTACAGTGATGATCAACTCCGCCGGCTTTTGATAAAGACCCCCTGCATCCAGGATGAGGTGGGGGCACCTGGGGTCCCAGGAGGAGGCGGAGTCACCGTCTTAGATGAAGGGCTCCTATCCTGAACATGACTGACCTGAGGACTCTGCTTATGGTGTAAATGCACCGACATGTCATGTAAAAACGCAGACTGGTCTGTCTGTATACAAGTCTCACCCAAAAGGTTCATGACCTCCCCCCCCCAAGCGACTGCGCTGCTTAGGTGTGGGGTAACTCAGCCCTACCCCTAACCCTAACCCATACCCTATCCTGATTCAGGCCTGGCTCTTATGATTTATGGCCAACAGCCTGGATGAAAGCAAAGATCTTGGGATGCTCTGCAGATGAGGCCCGTGTGGTGGGGGGGTGGCAGCCCTCCCCCGGCACTAAAACCAGCTGATATTACCCTCATCCTCGTAATTCAACCTGCTTGAATCATCACATGCGGCTCGAATTGGAACAGACTGTAACCGGTTCTGCCCCCTCTGTGGGCAGAACCGCTTCAGAGGAGGCGACCAGCTAAAGAGTGAGGTGGTCAAACGGTCAAGGCTGGGTCTGGACTGGAATGACTTCTGAGACATTACTGTCCGCGGGACAGCTGTAGGGCAGCTAACTGGGGACCTGTAATCCCCATCACGGACTTCGCTGTTGGAGTCCTACCGTTGTCGGTCTTAATGGATTCCATCTGTGCCGTGTTTGAACATATAGGTCTCAGCCTTGTTGGGAATCGTACAGCATCTTTCAGTTGGTTTGTTTATAATAAAAACATCGCACAAATGCATCGGGAGAGTTGAACACGCAAAGGACGCTTTCCTGGTCTGGTTCGGCCTTGTCACGGCCCACACGCCGTAGGAAAAACAGCTTTGGGAGGCGGGGACTGACCCCCTCCGCTGTTCTCCTGAGAAGTGCTCATGAGAAGGGAGACGTAGGCTGCTGTTCTCTGTGTATGGGGTACATCTGGCAGTATGTTCCTCATGTTCCGTGTGTGGTTCTCTTTTCTCAGCTCCCGTGCTGTCCCAGCTCTGCGAGGAGGCGCTCTCCATCCTGATGGAGTCCGAGCTCGTCTCCGCCGACGCCCCCCGCCCGCCTTCGAGCCCCGGGGCGGCACAGTACCTGCTGAGCTTGGCGCGGCTAGCGGTCAGCGCGGCCTTGGAGAGGCCAGAACTCTGGGGGGTGGGTGAGAGAGGCCCCCAGCTCCTGGGGCGTCTGCTGCAGTGCCCGCATCACGAAGTGAGACTGCTGGTGCTGGAGGAGGTCTTGAAGGAGCTGGAGGGACTGGCGGAGGGATCGTCACAAAGACGCCCGGTCTCCACCTTCCTCGAACAGAGTGCCTGCAGCCTCACCACCATGGCCCTGCAGGAGAAGCACCCCCAGTGTCTGGAAAAGGTACCCCCCCTCCCCCTTTAACCAAAGGTAGCACATTGCCACTCCTCAGGAACACTCTTACCCACATGTTCCTCCATTCAAGCACTGTTATTACACTCCACTGTGTTTTGGTTAATATTTAAACAGCTGCCTGTTTCCACCCTGTTTCTGGGTTGCGGGTGAGCAAATAGCCCTGTTACTATGGCAGCGTGTCTGAGAGGGCAGATGCCAAATCAAATTCCAGTAGTCCCCTGTCCTGTACGTGCCCGGGTCTCCCAGAAGGCATACCTGTAGAAATCCCCTTAGTGGTCTCTGGGAGTGGACTGCTGTAGTTCTGCTCTGTCATAGAAGGTTCTGGAACGGGTCCGATCAGCCTGACAGCTGCGGGTCAGCTAGATGTTTTGACGGCCCAGCCCTGCATGGAACGCTGTGTGTTTGCAGTCCTGGGGAAGCTGGAACGCGTGTTTTCTGTGAGTCAGGAGCTCATTAAAGACGCCGTAAAACTCGCTGGTCTCTCTGGAGAGAAGGGGGGGGAGGGCAGCGGCCTCCACTTTCATATCTGTTTGAAACCCGATCAGAAGCCGTCATGGCCGCCCCCGTCTCCCTGCCCGCCCGCCCGCCTGGCTGTCCCATAAAGCCTTTAATAACCTTTTCACGCTTTACAAAAAAAAATAATAATGATCGAAATGTGCTCCAGGAATGTAAACAGCTCTTTGAGCTGGGTTTACGGTGTGCTTAAGGGGAGGGCCATTCCTGGAGGTGGGGGGGACCCCTCGCTGCGTCCTCGTTAATGGCATCGCTGGACCGTCACATGTCTGGGGGGTGGCAGCGTGGACCAACGGCTTCTGGGTGGGCGTGGCGTCCCGCAGCAGGTGTAGCAGTGGCTTAGTGGGAGGGGCTTGTTTTATTTCTCTCTAAAGAAAGATTAAAAAACATCCCTGGCAGGGAAAAATATAATGGAGGTGCACAAATGTGCACAGAGAGGGTGAAGAGGCACCCCACTGCCCCGTTCCCGGGTCTCACGTTTCAGGCGGCTCGTCCTCCTCCCTCCAGGTGCCACAGGTGTGCTGATGGGCGTGCCCCCCCCCCCACCCCTCCACCCCCAGGTGTTGCAGGTGCTGTCCAAGGTGACCCTGGCTTCTATTCTGCCGTGGAGGGATGGCACGTCCGCTCTGACCCACGCCGAGGCTCTGGACCGACTCCTGGCGCTGGCTGAGGGCTCCGTGCACAGGTTGGTGGTGTGATCCACTGGGAATTGCCTGGCTCTCAGCCACTCTCATGTTGTCCCTGGGATGGATGTTCTGTCCCCTACATGCAAAGGTAGTGTGTGTGCGCCTTCGCCCCCCCCCCCACGCTCCAGGATGAGTGTGGTGGTCCCAGGGGAGAGATACCGTTTCAGGTGTGTCCTAGGTGTGTCCCAGCACTCCAGTGTCATGTCTCGCTGCCCCCTCCACCCCCCATGTCCCTGCAAGCACCAGCTCTCCTGTGGTTTATCCACTGTACTGTCAGTTAGCATTAACTGGGAGGATCACATCACAAATCCAGTCTCCACAAAAGCTTTGCTGCTCCTCCAGGCTCGACACGCCTCTCTCTGCCATGTTAAGTAACCGTTTCCTTGTCGTTCGTACCCCCCCCCCCACGTTAAGGTTTGAGCTACAAAGACTCCAGTCCGTCGCAGCTCTATACAGCACAGTCTTCCTTTACATTGTTTTTTTCTCGTGTTCCAGCGTCAATCTCCACTGCGCCGCCCTTGCGCTGACCTCTCAGCTGCTCCTCTACCTGGCTGAAGGTGGCTTCCAGGTAATTCTGCCCTCCCCTCCCCTCCCCTCCGCACCTACTAGGGGGAAAAGAAAACGAACAATGGCAGGAAGAGGTTATCTATACACCTCCGATACACTGGGATGGAGGTGAAGAAACTATGAGCCACGTTTGTTTTCCAGTTGACGCGAAAGGGATTCGCACTAAACTGCGGGTGAAACATTATTGATCGGAACCGGCCGACGGGTTCAGGCACTTATTGGTGCCTGAAATGGTGTAAGCATGTGGGATACAGGCTGGGGACGTCAACGTCGGGAATTTATTCAGTGTTAAATTCCCGTTCCCTGTAACTGTGTGTGATTAATATTAGAGTGTGTCAGATCCTCATACACACAGGGCTTTGTGCGTGTTGGGGGGCCATTCTGCTCGACTGGGGGCATCAGAGCGCCGTCTTATAGGTGCAGAATGCGGGTAGGAGGCATGGCTGGTGTGGGTGTCTCTGCTTCTGCCCCTCCTGATGTCCCGGGTCCTGCCTCACTGCAGCAGGCAGGTTCAGATGTGGTGCCGATAGTGTCTCGCTGGGGGGCCCTAATGAGCCGCTGCTGTGGTGAAGAGCAGCCCATGGAGGTGAAGCTGGCGGCCGCGGACATCCTCGTAAACTCCACGCCTGGCGTCCTAGCCAGCGCCGGCCTGCCCCTGGGTGAGTGCCCGTGTGTGTTCGTGCCCGTGTGTGTTCGTGCCCGCGTGTGTTCGTGCCCGCGTGTGGTCGGTCCGCCCTCTTTCCCCCGTCGGTGTACGTTCTCGCTGGGCTGATTCCGGGTGCTTCCGGGAACCTTCTGCAGGTCTGAGCAACACGGTGGCCTTGTGGCGGAGTCTCTTCACCCTGCTGCAGGACGAGGACCGGGAGGTGCGGGACCGGGCGTCTGACTTTGCCACGGCAATCCCGCGGCACCTCCTAGATCCGCAAGGTACATGTCTCAGAACAGACACCCCGGCTCTTACCCCGTATACGCACTCACGCACACACACACATTCACTGACCCTCGTCATACCCTCGGAACCGCAGGCACACTGGACTTATTCAGCCTGTGGCACCTTGAAGTGGGCCAGCTTGCTGGGTCGACCCGATTGACTGTTTTCCTTTGGCTGCTGATGAAGTGGAATTCTGACGCTGTCACCTTCATACCCCCCCACCCCCAGCACTCCGCCTGGCGTTGGGGAGGGCTGTACTCATGGGGTCAGGTTTGAGGAAGGCGTGGGGGCATGGTTGACGCCATTTCTCGGTAACACTTGGGGGGGTGCCTTCCTGGAAGTGCCGTTTGGAAAAGGAGGGGGGGTTCCAACCGCCGCAGATTAAGGATGGTCCACCCGGCCCTGCAGCGGCGACGGTGGTTTGGAACGTTAACCTGATAGAAGTGGTTTTCCTTCAGCGGGAGCAGGATACCGAAACTCGGGGGGGGTGGGGGGGTTGTTACCTGAGCGTGGGTGATGGAACTGCCCAGGACTGGCCGTGCTGTCATGGTGAAGACGGTGAGTCAGTGGATTGAACGTTGCCTGTCTTGTTGTGTCTGCCCGGCTAATCTGTGCGGGGGTGTCTGGTTGGGGGGGGTCTGACCCTGTGGGACACACGTGGTGAACACTGGCGTGTTTGCTCTGCTCGGCATTCCGCCGGCGGTATCTGCATGTGTTCGGCATCCCAGCGTTGGCCAGGAGAATCATGGGAAGTCTTTACTGGAAAGTTCTGTGCCGTGGATTTCATCCCCCTACCCCGCCCCCTACCCCACATGCGCACACATTGCCAGGGCTTTTATAGCGCAGACTGCCTGGGGGTAATAGAACCAGCTGTCTTTGAGGTCTGTGCCAGCTCTGTTCCTCTCCACCCACTTTGGATCAGACCCCTGTTCTGGTGGGAGTGGGGGCAAACCTGCACCCCGACTCAATCTTAGGGTAACCACAGTGTTCTGGATCCAGTATGATGCTTTTGCCCCCACCAACAATGTGTGCCAGGTGCCCCCCCCCCCCCCATGATGTTTATGGCTCTGAACTTCACTCTTGAGTGGAGGTAGGGGGAGCAGATGTACTGGGGAGTCTGTCACTTCAGCCCCTCTTCCAGGAGAGGGGGAGAGAGGAGATCATGGGAGCATCAGGTTTAGCCTACGAGTAAGAGCGATTAGCCCCTTTGCCCCACCAGATAGAGGGCAGTAGTGAGTTATTGGTGTAGCCATCTGGCCAAAAGGTAGCAGCCAGCCTATATGTATGTATATTGTTACATTTCATTCATATTAACTCTGATATAGTGCCTTAGATGTTAACGACAACCCTGGGGGGTTGTGGGGGGGTGGGAGCGGTGAGGTAACGGTTCTCCAGAAAGCTGAAGTCTCCACATAAACATTCTGCCTTTGAAATGTAAGTGGCTCAACGATGCATAGTTAAGTGGGAGGGGGTGTCTATTGACAGCTCACCCCCCCCCCATTTAGTAGCCATTGGAGTTAATAGAGAAGCCCAGTCCTACACCCATTCATCACGAACTGCTGGTAATGGTCTTCTTTTCACGCATTTCCCACTGTCTGACAGTCACTGTTTTCCAGTTGAGGGTGTTTATTTCAGTTCACATTGCATTCTGGGTAGTGTAGGGTATGGCGACAGACTAGTGGATCTCGGCACCGACCTCCAACAGAGAGCTGGGTTCTGCTGTGCGGCTTGGAATGGTGCCCCCGCCCCCCCCAAAAAATCCGTAATTTACCTGGAGCGCAGGGCTGGAGTCGAAGCCCAAGTGGAGTGGGTATCCGAGGACTTGACGGGGGCTTCGGAAACATCTCACTCACCTGGACGGTGGCCACGAGCGATCTCTGAGGAGGGTGGGTAATGCCGCACACCCTGGGCCCCTCCAGTTCACCGCCGCTGCCGTCTCCTCCTTTCATCGAATGGAGGGGACCGAACCTCGTCCTCTCCACATGAGGTGACCGTCTGGGGCGGCATAACCCAGTTTCCCCTCCACAAGATGTCGTCCTCACTTCGTTTTAAAGAGCGAGCCTTTCCTGCTGCTAGTTATTAATATTATGTCTCTTCCCGCTATGAAGCAGTCACTCTTTCGCTTTCCAAAGCTCCTTTTGCGTTTCCTAGAAAGAGGGAAACTGAGCAACTGTTTGTGAATTTTGCAGGTTTTTCAGTAAATCACGCCTCATCATCGTAATTACAGGCCAAATTAGGGGGGTGAGGCATCATTGTGAGGAGGAGATTGTTTTTCTTCCTCAGGCACCGGCGAAGTTTTAGGTTGCACCACGGTTTAACGGACTTTTCCAGAACATTCTGAAAGATTTGTTTGCCATTCAATGCATCGGGGCAGGAGATAATGCAGCACTTAGCAGGACACTCTTGTAAAATGGAAGTGGCCTTTTTCATCTAGCCTTAGATGACGATGGCAGAATTTGGGCTGCATTTCTCCCTCCCCTCTGGGGTGCGATTTTATTTCTTGGCTTTGAAGGAGAACGTAGAGCTTAACCCCAAGCAGCTGCTGCATCCCAGGTAATCTGTGTGAGGCGGCACCCACCCCCAGACGTACCACTAGGGCCCAAACCACCTTTGCATGTGTGACCTGAGGTAAGAAAGGCGCTGACTCGCTCATGGGGGTGTCTGTCGCAGCCAGCACAGCGCACATCAACATCCCACCAAACCAAACTCTATGTTCTCGTCCAAAATATCTCTTTATAAGCCACAAGGATTCTGGGTAAGCAAATTTAATTCACAAAACCCTCATAGTTTAAATTTTGAAATGAGACTGGTTCTGTACCTAAAGTTGTCCCCCCTCCCCCCCGCCCACAGTAGCTTGACCAAGTGGTTGGTAAGTAACCCAGTTTGCTATGAGGACTTGTCTATTGTAGGTGTATTGGAAGGATGTTACGTGTGCTGCAGTGGCGGGTATGGTCATATATGGTGGTGTGCTCTGTTTGAGTGAGCCCCCCCCCCGCCCTCTCCCCGGGCAAGTAATTGCCCTTTAAGGCTGGTTCATGCTTCACGTGGACGCGGCAGTGGCGTGGTGTGCACGCCGGTTGTGACGTCGTAGGGGCCGGCTTTGGACACTTCGCAAGAGCCGCGCACCACTCAAACTGAAACAACGCAGAGGCTCCGATCAGTGACGCAAGTGAATTTTGATTGTTCATTGGCCAGGGGAAAAGTAGCAGGAAGTCAGAAAGTATTCTAACCAAAGATTGTTTATAAACACCTTTTCTACCCTCTGTGATCAGAATGATAACTAATATGGCTAGCTGGTTTGAAGAATGGCTGACAAAGTCCAGAAATACCAGCATTTACGATTCCCTGCTACAGTATTATAAAGACTCCCAGATGGCTGCAAGCTAAAAATATGCTTACACTGCCATGCCACACACCTGTGTGTGTTTCTGTTTCTGTGTCAGTGTCACTTTCATTTTTGATTTTTTAAAATTTAGATTGTTATTTTCATTTGATATCCTTAGTTTTAGTTTTCAGTGTGGTTTAATCCGTCTTTATTAAGTATGTAAATCTATTTAGTTGTTATATTTTGCTTTGGTTTTAATAATTTTGTTTCTAGGGATGGATGGAAAGTTGTAGGACTTTTCTGGCTTCTGCCCGGATGTCAAAGTGCCATTGGCTGTTTCTATGGTTAAGTCGCATTGCCCGTGAGGTCCAACAATAAACAAATCGTTACTTTAGCCAAGTAGTATTTTTAAAAGCAGTAACGGGAAGTATTCACCATTTTATTTTATTTCTGTTGGTTCTGGAAACAATAGTTATAGTTCTCGTTTAGTTGTAATTTTTTTTATTTTCCAGTGCATTTTCTTATTTCAGTTTACGTAACTGTTTTCAGTAATGAACGTTATACTGCCTTGCGTAATGTTAGTACATAGTAATCGATTAGTTTTAGTAAAATTCTTTTTTTTTCTTGTAGCATCCATACCACACGTGACCTTTTAAGAGCAGCTTTGCACTACAGCGCCACCCCAGGTCTGATATCAAAGTTACACGGTTGCCATGACGCATTGGCGCTAGAAGTGTGAACGTTCAGGATCAGGGGCGGTCCGGCACCACTGTGCACCCGCTTCCGAGTGAACTCTGAATCGGCCCATAATCCTCCGGGGTGCAGTCGTTTGGCTGAACAAGGATGGTCGCCCCCCCCCCATTCAAAGCTCATTTTCACATCAATACAGAGTCCTTGGAAAGAGACATTGAAGCCATTGACTCTGTCACCTGGGGCCAGACCCCGCCCCCCGACGGGATCTTAAACAGTGTGCTCTCCTCTGATCAGATACCAGAGCTCTATTGAAGGCCTGTGACATCATCGGTGTGGCAGGGTGCTGGGGGTGTCTGTGCAAAGCCGTGGAAGTTTACCTGAAAGGAGCCCCTGGGGAAATGAAGTGCTGAATGGTGTCTGTCTGTGGAATTCTCAGTGCCCACATGTTGTGGTTATGGGACACCACTGGGTGAGGGAAAGGTGTCGGGGGGTGGGGGAGGTGGACGTCGTCGTCGTGCCCATGGATAGGAGCAGGATCTCCCCAGAAGTCCCAGCGTTTGTCTGCAGTGGGACAGGCGTGTCCTCCTGGTGTGCATGTGGAGTTGGTGGGCAACTCTCTCAGGTCTCTCCAGTTTCATGGCCCTGACAGTCCCCCCCCCACCCTGGATACCAAACACCTTCCAGCTGCAGTGCTCAAATCCCCATGTTTGCCGAACACCAAAGCTCCCTCTGGTTATTTAATAGTTTTTAATTAGTTCCAGGCCAAAGCTCTCGCAGATCTGCTACGGGAATTAACTGTCCCTCTCCTGTAGAATTTAACTCCCATCTTGCAGAAATATCCCCACATGTCACCGAATTCTCCGCCCCCTAAACTCCAATCCAAATTTTTTTTTTAAAAAATCAGATGCATGAACATGCAGGACCTGCACCGTCAGCAAAGGGGGGGGGGGGGGGGCTGGAATCCCCACTAAGAAGGTCTCTCCTGATCCGACCTCCTTCCGTCAAAATCATATTAAGTGCAGGAATGCAAAGCAGAACCAGCACCCTGGATGTGCTGCAGAAACACCAGCTTAGATCTCTGGCCAAGTTGTAAGCGCGTAGGTTGGAGAGCAGAGGGTACAAATTTATCTTTATTAATTTCTTGTGCAGACAGTTGCTGCTTTCCACTGCAACTGAGAATTTTTTCCAACCCCTACAGCTGTCCTCTCTGATGACCTAACTCTAAGGTACAACAGTGCTGTCCACACTGGGATTTTTGGTCTCAACCTGCTGTGCTGATTATCATATGTTGTTACTATGTCTGAGAGGGTCTGATGTGGGCTTTGAAGGGGTGTCGTGTCGTCCTATTGTGGGGGGGGGGGGGGTTAGTGGACTGTCCGGATTGGCACCCCAAGTTCGTTCCTCCCATTAAAAAAAAAAAAATCCTGAATGCGGCCGGAATGCATCCAGTCATTGTGCCAGGATATAGAACAAACATGGAGGATTAACTGTGATGACACTCCCTTCGCACACATGCACAAAAGCGGGGGGGCGGGGCTGGGCGGGGGGGGCGGGTGGAAGACGGGAATCATGTTAACTGACTTGGGAAAAAAAAAACTCTGAATCTGGAATTGAAAGCAGCTTGGATTTCTCAGATTTTCATGTCTGCCTTGTTTTTGTGTTTAGAAGGTGGGGGGTGACAGTGTCACCTTACATGGGATGAATCGGAGGCCCGACTTCAGGGCCTGGCCAGCGCCGAGCTGCCCTTTTGGTGAAAAGGCGCGTTACTCGGTCCACTGCCTGGTGGCGCCGATCACGCAGTAAGCCGGCAGGCCTCCCCGCCCACCTGCAGTCTCCTAGCGACCCGCCTGCCTTTGTCCTGCCGCAAGGTGTCAGACGTTCCCCACATCACCTGACCGCTGCGCTTTCTGTTGTCCCAGCGGTGCCCGTTTGCAAAGGCCCAGCCAAGGTTTAGATACAGAATACGGGAGCTGGGCCCTTCATCCAGGGGAATCCGTGTGGCGGGGGCCACTCCTACATTTTAATCTGGGGGTTTCGGGCTGGTAGAAATGGCCGACTCCATGGACAGGGTCACTTCAGCTGCCCTGTTCGCTCTGTCCTCAGCATCTCCGCCATCCCTCCCGCATTTTCCAATATGCACAGACCAGATCTCTGAATCCCAGCCCGGCCCTGCAGCGCTGTTCCACATGGTGAGCCTGAGTTATGGATTTCCTTTGTGGAATGAGTTCCAGACCTGCAGCGAGAGGAGCACGTGGCAGGGGAGAGACGTGATGCACGGAGGGCTGCTTACACTCGTTTGCCGGTGACCACCCCCCCCCCGCCGTGACTCCCTCACTGGCCTGCGCTGCGTCCCCCTCTGCTTTCCCAGTCCCACCACCCTGGTTTGAGCCCTGGCCTTTTCAGAATAATCACATCTCCCTTGGGCCCGTGAGCAAGACCTTTAACCCCCAAAAATGCTCCAGGGCCGCTGGATACATGCCTGACCAAATGTCCCCACAAGGTGAACAAAAACCTGCTATTTTGACTTTGTGGGGACCATTTTTTTCAGTCCCCACAAGGGGAAGCTCAATTCTATAAAAAAATTATCTGACTCTGTCTTGTCTTTTGTTTGGTTTCTTATGGTGAAGTTTACGGTTGGGTAGGGGTTAAGGTTGTCATTGTTGGGATTAGGGCTATGGCCACAGAAATGAATAGAGAGTCGAGAGTCCCCACAAGTGTGTGTGTGTGTGTGTGTGAGAGAGAGAAAGGAGAGCAGAATGGGATGTGAAAAGCATTCCAACATACCTGTACTTGCACAAATGGCAAATAAAGCTTCATTTCATGACCCAGCCAACAGCAGCTGTTCCCCTACTTGCCTGGTGACTCTACCCAAACTTCTCCTGCCCTGCGTCTCCCTCTCGCCCTCTAGAGGGCGTCCCTGATGCTGTGTGCCCACCCGTGGCCCTGGAGCTTGGGCTGAGACTCCTTTGCCGGCTGTTTGAGGAGTGGGGGCAGGTGCCAGCGGGGGTACTCATCCTCACTGATTGGCTGCTTGGAGAGGGCGAGCCGGAGGTCAGCCCCGTGAAGACGCCCGGCCTGGTAATGACCCTCTGACCTCAGTGGTTAAATCCAATGACTAAACTGTGTGCTGGAAACATCATTAACGCTACGGCGTGTCAATCAACAGAAGAGCTGTAATGCTGATATCTGTACCCAAGTGTCTGAACGGCTCTCCCCTTTTCCACCCTTCCTGTGATCAGGACGAAGAATTCCTGTTTGAGAAGGGGGAGTTGAACCTGTGGGCGGAGCCTCTGAAGTGGGCGTGGCTGCTTCACCGGCACCTCTGCCCTCTGCTGCGTGTAGCCGACATGGCTGGGGTGGAGCCAGGGCCGCTGGAGGAGCTCTTTGCTCGGGCAGGGGCCTGTGCTGAGGCTTCAGGACAGATGCTTCAGGCCTTGCCGGCACTGCCCCAGTTCTCCTGCACTGCCGAGCACGAGCGGCTGACCGTGACGAACCAGAGGGCCTGTTCTGCTCTGGAGGTGCTTGGGTTACTGCAGCCTGAGCAAAATACGTCTTAACATTTTATATTTTTATCTCTTAATCCTGTCTCAGAGCTTTCTGAACCTAAACCCTGAATCGTTATTTTTAGAGACATTTTATACAGTTATTTTAATTGAATTGGAGTGGTTTTAATGGTTTCTTTTGTAAATAGACACCAGGCAGAAAAAGAAATTGAAGAATAAAAATCTGACTTTATCAGTAAGAAATCGCATTTCTGTGGGCTGCTCAACACGGGTGCCTGGGGGGCTAAATGTCACAATGAGGTGTGTCACTTCTGCAGTGGTCTGCTTAACCATCTTAACTCTCACAGGATGTGTGCTCAGTTCACGCGTTGAGTCCCTGATGCTGAAACTGAAGATGAATATAATGAATATAATGCATCTCTGGCTGGGGATGGTCTGTGATCATGTGTTGCATGCACATCCTGTTTGGTCTCAGCACTTCCTGCACAGATGAAGTTAGCGAATGTTTTTTTTTTTTTTTTAATTCTAGCTTGCAACTGAGTTTTAATCGGATGCTGGTATGTACTCAAATCATATACAGTCTGTCCAGTTTTGAAGAATGCAGGAATTTGCAAGCGAAAGTAATGCGATAAAGCCACCTGGATTTAAGCTGTGTGTGTGTGTGTTTGTGTGTGTGTGTGTGTGTGTGTGTGTGTGTGTTGGAAAGACTTTAGGGTGGTTCAAACGAGGTCCCGCTGGGAGCTTGTCTGTAAAGGTGGGTAACAGGGCTGGCATTAGGCCAGGCGTGGTGAATGTGCATGGCAGCGCTGCCCAGCTGAGTCTGGCATCACGGTGCCCCCCATGGCTGTATGGACAAGCACAGGCTTCCTGGGTCCCGGTACGGGTCCAAACGGGCCGCTTTTCCCCGGGTTTCCCGTTGCTCGTTTCAGCGACCGCTCGTGAATTCTGACTCCTCCGCAGAAGCAAATGTGGTTTTAATCCTCCCCCAGGGAAGAGAAAAGGGGGGGAGGGGGGGGGGTTAGTAATTGAGTCAACATTTCATTGGGCCTCCAGGAGAACGAAGAAGAAAGAGGAGGGGGGGGAACAGAAAAGTTTCCGAGGTAGTGGGGCTATGATCACCTTGGTTACACGATGGCAACCTGACAAAGGCTCACTGTGCAGTGTGTGTGCCCTGGCCACGCTCATAACACCCTCACCCCCCCGCCGCGGGCTGTTCCTGTGCTGTAAAAGTGATGTAATGTTTTGCTTGAAAGTCCCCAGTGGATTCATGGCCAGCGTAACACATGACTGCTTCGTGTGTGTGTGTGTGTGTGTGTGTGTGTGTGGCACCATAGATCTAGGCAGTTTTCATATGGACCTAGCCAATCTTTGACATTAAGATGTTCTTAAACAATTTCGAGGCATAGCCCAAATGAAATGGAGGACCTGTAGTAATTCCAGTGTTTTTGTAAATTGCTGCCCTCCTCCCCCTGTTTACTAAACTGCTAATCCATTACCAGGATAATCCCTGTACTGAAATTGCACAAAAGGCTGCATCATGGATATCTAGGAAAGCATGTGCATGGCAGACAAATGTACACAACGGTAGAATGAAAATCTTATGGCCACTGTAGTTATGTAAGTTGGTGATTTATGCAGACAGAAATTTTGCGAAATGATTACATGTCATAAACCGGAATAGTTGCGTTGCACCTTCTGCAAATAGCATTGGGCCACTGTGGATCAGCAACAATTGGAGCCGTGACCCGTTTCGGCATAAGGTATTCAGTCCACTACCTTTTAAATAACTGGGTCCCCCCCGCACACTGCAGTGATGCAAGGTTATAATTGCACAGCAGCATTGTTTATTCTGCGATTCGTGCATGTGCAAATATAAACGGTGTCCGTGGTTACATGATTCGGCCGGTAAGCCGAGGCTGTGCAACTTACCTCTGACACAAAACTGCACTCTTGGTGCGACTGACTAGCTGGAGAGCCATTAACGTCTCTGGTTAATGGTTTAATTCGCCCTTTGACCACTAGGGGTCAGTGTTGTACCACTCGCACGCCGAAGCGGTGCTGCATTCCTTTGCATCTCAGCCGCTTGTGCAGCGCGGCTGTGCAGTGATTGCTGGTGACAGTCCTATTCGCTTATGTTAACCCAAAACTTTTAAAAAATATACTTTACAATCGTCAGTGTAGCCTGTCGTTCTGCATGTACCCCAAAAGAGTGAGCGGACTGCATTTTTGCATGTGTTTGTGTGCTAAACAAATTGGCCTTCCATTCTTGTTGGATTTTGCATAAACAGCGGATTACCATCGACATGTCTGCCAGGTGAACAAATTTTTCGTTCACTCACACGCTTGACGTTTGAATTAAAAAAAAAATTGCGGCCGTGTCTTTGCGCTGCTTGCATGGCTGTGCGTTGCACGATCCTCCTTCCGACATAAACACCTATTTGTGTGTATGTCCTCCTGTTTTCATATTCCGTCCCCACCCCATCTCAGGCACACTGACCGATGTGTCGGCGAGCATGCAAAGTCAGTTTCGTACCGCAGCTGGTCAACTAAAGATGGGATAAGCAGTTTAACACCTATACTGTTTTACCATGGAAAAACACGTATACGCATAGTACTTAATTCCCTATTTAAACAAAACAAGTCACATAATGAAATTGCTCGGATCTAATTAATCTTTTCTGAACTTAACGAACTGTGAGCGTCTCGCCCAGTGGGCGGTGGGTGACATCGCTTTGCTGTAGTAAACACTGCGGTTTCCCTTCGCCGTCCAAGCTTTCTAAGCAGGAGGGTGAAATGCCCGTGGCAGGTTTGCTCTCGGTTAAATGAATGGCCGTGCGTGTATTCTTTCGGGGACATTATTTATGAATTGGTCTATATTGTTTGGCTTCACTAATATCGAAACCCCGTTGCGGTTTGGATCTGTTGCTTCACTGTTAGTCAGTTGCAAACACATGCGGCAGCTTCTGTTCTATATGCAGAATCGAAAACGCAAATAGGCACTTCAGTATGAAAAGTGGCGTGAGTGAGTCAACCGTAAACCGGAGCGTGGCATGTTGATTTCGGGCGTCCGGTAAATGTGGTTTCACCATTAATAAGTGGGAATATCTAAACTGTGGAACGGGATGTTGCTCCTTAATTCGCGTGTTTATATCCCTTTCTTATTGATCGGAATGCAGACTGATGGCTCTGTGTGAAACATGGGGAAAAAATATCCAAGCCTGTTCTGGTTGCGCTCCTGCGGGCTTCTGAATGAACAGGGTGGCGGGACACGGGTTTTATGTGCCCCTCTGCATTTCCAGGCCGTGTAATTTTCTTTGGATGCCCCACCCCCCTACAACCCCCTTCCCTCCCCCGGAGAAAAAACTTCTATGTAAATGAAGTAGGAGGGTCGACCAACCCGGGAAGGGGCGTGTCGCGCGAGGGCCCGGCGCTGCGGGGGGAAGCCACGCCCCCGTCCGCTCAGCGCTCGGTATTTATGCGCATCTGCGAGCTGCAGGACGATTGCAGCGCTCTATAACTCGGCGTCTCCGGGAAGAAGCCTTCCAACAACAACAACAACAACAAAACGGGACACTTTTCCGCTTCTCTCTTCGGACGGTGCTGGATCCATTCTGGAGTTGCATGCTTCTCTCCATTCGGCTTTTTTCTGAGTATAGACGTGGCTAGATAAATAATAATAATAATAATAATAATAATAATAAAAAGTTGCTCCGGCCGTACTGGGATCACGGCAGGTCCTCTGTGAGAGAGCAACTGTGCTGAGAAAGCTCGAGAGAAGATGTCTGCAACTATCTTGTCCGCCTTCTACGACTTCGACATGCTGTACAAGGTAACTTTTGTTTTAAAACAACTCAAAAGCACGCAAAGTGCGGACCGTCCGTGTATTTTTAGTTAGATGTAGTATTAGTGCCATAGCCACGCTGTCTCCCCGTGTAAGGGAGCTCTTATTTTCGATTTCCTTTTCATGAAAGCTTAGCAGTTTTAATCTGTTGCATTGCCTGTTTTAATAACACCCGGCCGATCTCTTTCACAGCAGCAGGACAAAAACCTAAATATACATGCAATCAATTTGAACAGCATGCTGGACAAAAAGGCAGTCGGGGCGCCGCTGACCGCTGCCAGCACCTCCAGCAGTTGTTCCTACACGCCGGGCTTTTTCCGAAGGAACTCCATCGGCAACGTGGACTCTCTGAGCAACAGCAACAAGTACCCCGCCGCCTCTTACGGCAGCCTGAAGGAGAGCTCCGCCGGCAGCGCCAGCACCAGCACCTCCGCCATGAACAAGGAGAACAAATTCCGCGACCGGGCGTACAGCGAGAACGGCGAGCGCAGCCAGCACCTGCAGGTCCTGCAGCAGAAACCGGGATCTCAGATCAATTCGACCCGCTATAAGACGGAGCTCTGCAGGCCGTTTGAGGAGAGCGGGGCGTGCAAGTACGGCGAGAAGTGCCAGTTCGCCCACGGCTACCACGAGCTGAGGAGCCTGTCCCGCCACCCCAAGTACAAAACTGAGCCCTGTCGCACCTTCCACACCATCGGCTTCTGCCCCTACGGTCCCCGGTGTCACTTCATCCACAATGCCGACGAACGCAGACCGGCCCCCAGTAACGCCAACTTGCAGGGGGAGCCGAAGTGCGCCCGCGAGCCCTGCGGCTTTGGGCAGAGGGAGGCGGCGCAGCCACACTCTTCCTACGGTCAGAGGGACAAGCCCAAACTGCACCATAGCCTCAGCTTCTCCGGCTTCTCCAACCACCATGGATTTGAGTCGCCGTTGCTGGAAAGCCCCACGTCGCGCACCCCCCCGCCCCCTTCCTCCTCCTCTTCCTCCTCCTGCTCGTCTAACTTCTACGAGGACGTCCTGTCTCCCAACTCCATGTGCGTGAACGGCGGCTTTTCCTTCCCCGGTCAGGATCTGAAAACTCTTCTCGCCCCTTTGGCCATCCACACGCAGAATGGCTACGCAGCCCAGACCAACGGTGCATATTACACAAGTCTGCAGACTGGCGGCGTGTGCCCCCCATCCCCCCCATACAGCATGGGCCAACTGCAGTCCCTGCGTCGCTTCTCCGAGTCGCCGGTCTTCGACTCCCCCCCGAGTCCCCCCGACTCCCTTTCGGACCGGGAGAGCTATGTGAGCGGGTCCCTCAGCTCCTCCGGAAGCCTCAGCGGCTCCGAATCGCCCAGTTTGGACTCCGGAAGACGTTTGCCAATCTTCAGCAGGCTGTCGATCTCAGATGAATGATCTGTCCGGCACCATCCTTACTTTTTTTGCATCCGAAGAGGAGGGGGACCTGACATTCCAATAGTCAGCGCCACCCTCTGCTTCCCAACTAGACTATTAATGATCAAAGTAGAGAAAACAGCCAGAACTACAGGAGACGGCAACCTATCCTTGAAACGGCATTAGTTTTTTTTTTCCTTTAACTTTACATGTGTAAAAATAGACATCAACAGAAGGCATTCCATCTGTGACTTAAAATTTTGAGTTGCAATTAACGGCAGTCTTTGGTCTACCCAACAAACTATATTTTGGGGGAAAAGGACAATGTCTATTTTTTTTTTATAAAAGACTGAGCGGTTTTAGAGTTTCCTCCATCCTGCCAAGAATATGCCTTGACACAAGTGTACCTTCCATTCCAAAACTTCGATCCGCATCGCAGCGCCGCACGGTGGCCTGTCTGCTTTGTGTAGGCTGTCGCTCGGTTAAAAGCACTCAGAGTTGAGTTTGTTTGGGAAAATCACTGCTGATGGTTGAATATATATATATATACATATAAATATTTTTAGCTGTTTTTTTTGAGTGATTACATGGCGGTGCGCAACGTGCTATGAACTATTTAACTTATTTATTATCTTGTGAAAAGTATAGGCTACATTGGTAATTTTTTTTTCTTTGTGTCCATACTGTATTTATCGAGTATGATGAAGCAATAGATCTATATTCTTTTATGTTTAAATTATGATCGCCATTATTAATCTGCATAAAGTGGAGTGTATGTTCTTTTCACAGTAATATATATTGTTTTTGTAACTTCACTTGGTTATTTTATTGTAAATGAGTTAATCTTAATTTAAGAGATTGTATGTGATATTTATTTCGTTAATTTTTCTTCGTTTACGTTTTATTGATAAAGACGGAAATGTTTGCGTGATTGCGGTTTGGAGGCCGACGCCGCGGAAGGTGTTTTTTTTTTTTTTTGTTTTTGTTTTTTGTTCCTCTCCAAGCAGTCGTCCTAGGTGTTCCATAGAATGTATAGAAAGGTGTGTACAGGCCGTCCAAACGTCAACTAGCCTTAAGCTTTTTTTGATCATATCAGCCTTCAATGACAAAGCCCAAGTCAAATAAGTAAATTGTAACCAAAAAGTATTTGGCGCGCGCGGTCACGTGCCTGAGAATGTAGCAGAACCCCAGTGTTATTGTCTAGTGCCTACAGGGGTCCATCCTCCATGCCTTAACCAAATAAAGTATTTTCCTCTGGATATTTTTATGCGAGTCGAATTGAATGTAGTGTTTGGCTTTTAATTGCCCTCTACCAGTTTGTTACCACTTGTGACTTAATACTTTTGGAGCAACGGGTACCTTTTTCTGCCCTGTTGTCACTATTTGTTCCCATGTTTAAGAAACATTTTTTTTTCCTTGGTGATTTGAAATGGTCTGAATCTTCCAAACTTGCTGGACGGGGGAGTTTTTTTTTTTTTTTTTTTGTACATAGTAGGTACGCGCTATGTACTTCTTGACTACTTGTATCAGAAGTAAAGCTTTTTGAATGTAACTAAAATGGATAAAAAAGGCAACCTGAGTTGTATTATAACTTTGTTTTTTGGGGGGAGGAGTCAGTTCACTACAAATTGAGTGTGAGACTGTTAACTTTGTACTGTACATTTTTTTGTAGTTCTCCCAATAAAATCATTTTTGAAAAAAAGGAGGCATTGTGTTGTGGGTGTTCTTCTGAGGGGAGGGGGGGGGGTGAAAATGCCTGGGAATGATCGACCAGCCAGCTTTCCTTCTTTCCTCGTGAATAACATCAGTGCTAATTTTTGCCTATATTCCCCCCACCCCCTGCCAGAGTTCTCAGTGAAACTGCTTTCAAATTATAATTCCATGCGAAGTCTCGTGTTTTGTGACTGTCCTCATCAAACTTCTAACCTCCCCCCCGTGCGTTTTGGCCTCCTTTCCCTGTCCACAGAAACATCGTGTGATTGGATGCTCTAGGTAGATTTCACCACCTGTGGCTCTTATTGATGTAAGTCACACTAAGTCACTTATCTCAAGGTACAACTGAAAGTACCTCCAAGGACCATTTGGTTGCAATCGACTGCTAAGCTACCTGCAGCTAGCTGGACAGTCAGCTCTCACAGCTCTGCCTGATTTTTTTGTGTAAACATTTGCCCTCTCCCCCACTGCCTCCATCTATCTTCAGCCAGTGCCGTAGAACTTTTACCTGCTCCCTCCCACAATCTTGTCAGGCTTTCTCTCTCCTGTCCTTGTCATCCCAAGATGCCCCCCTCTCCTGTTGCTTGAGCACAATGGGCTGTTTTACAGGTTGAATGGTGGCTGTTTTGTTTCCTTTGCATTCCACTGGAAAGCAAGATACTGATTTACATACTGAGTTTAGACACAGGCTGGGAATGAGGGGGTGTTTATCTGCTTGTTTGGCAGAAGCTCTCCTGTGACTCTGATGTTGGACACTCAGCTTGTGAGTGGAGAAGGCCTTGGGCCTTGCTGCAGCTTAAATTGACTGATGGATACCATTCTTCTATTGGGTGCGGGTCTGTGACAGGGTGACTGTTTGGGGACATGATCACTGACATGAAGTGCCACGTGGATCAACATGTCTGTCATTTTAGCCTGTTTTTATCGAACATGTTGAAAATTTTCTGTCCTTGTATGGGGGGGGGGGGGGTTCACTTTTGCCAGATCTGACCATCTGCTAATGGTCAGGAAGCCAACTATCCATTTGTCTCATGTCAAACGAGCCTCTTGGTTATGGTGGCGGGGGCCTTGGGATTTGGGGCCCCAGCTTTGGTACTGTCAGCAGGGACTGTTTACTTGCAAATGGCGGGAGGCAAACCAAATGCTAAGTGCCCATTCTCAGTTTTACGACCCCCCCAAGACCCGTTCTCTGGTTGAGGATCTGTATGCAAATGCCACAGTGGGGGTGGGGGGCATGTGGGTGCAAGACAATGATGAAAATGTTGCATTTGACCACGTTACGAGGCACGAGACCTCCAGGGCGCGCTGTGAGTTTCAGCGCGGTTGCTAGGAACCAGGTTTCGCTTAATCCTGGCCTGGCCCTGTGACAGACCCGGTGTCTGCTTGGCACTTACCCAGTGATTTCCTCCAGAAGCGCATGCCAGTCAGGTGGTCCGGCTGGTGGGATACTTTTCTTTTCATTGGCTTGACTGCTTGGCAAAGTGGTTGTCAGTTGACTATTTCACTATTTTTAGTCAATTACTCTTCTGTGATCTGCTTGCCGTCTTGTTGCAGTTTGACTCACTGTCTGTCCCAATCATTGCACTGCTCTTGCATGCGGGTTAATAAACTCTCTTCCAGTAAGCACAAAAGTATTTTACCCCTCACGTGTTAAGCTTTCGTATGCAGATCATGGGCGTTTACGATTAACCGTTTCCTTGTACTCATATCCAGCGACTGACCACATTCCCACGCTCAGCACACTGGAATTGGAAGATGGCTGAGACGAGTCCACCTTTCTGTAGTGTTAAGAATTGACTCCAAGCCTCATCACGTAACCTTGGTTATTTTAGACCCACACAGCTTTCTAGACTGCAGTTAACAGTTGTTCTAGAAGTTTGTTTGTCACTTGTTCAGGGGCTGCTCTAAACCAGGAAGTCAGGGCAGGTGACTGGGTTTATCTGACAAAAAGAGGACCCGTCTGTCTTTATTGTTTTTTTTTTTCTTCTTCAAGTGTTCCTCTGATGCAACCCCTCCGTTTTACGGTCTGTGCTGTTAGATGTCCGCTGCCATTAAAGTCATTAAGAAAATGAAGGCTAACAGCTTGAGTGGCTTGCAGAGTTCAGCTGGAGATAAGGGGGTGATAGGGAAGCACAAATATTTACCGTGTCTTCAGAATTTCATAATGAAGTGTTTATCAGTGGCCTCACAATGGCCTGTCTGTGCCAAGTGGGCCTTTGTATACCTGTGTGTGGGTGAGGCTGCAGCCCAATGGGCTGGCCTCCCACAATCAGAGGAAGCTCTCTCCAGCTCTGATTACGCTGGCCAGGAAGAGCACAGACCTCCACCTCCACCCTTTCCCCGCACTTTTTTTCCTGTTTTTATTATTATTATTCCTTATTTTTCTATGCCGGCCAGAAATTTCTGGAAGGTGTTGATCACATTGCAGGGGGTGCCCTCTGGACGCACTGTGGAATTGCCCTCGGTCTGGCACGCTTGGGCCCCCGGCCCTTAGTCCAGGAGGGGCCTTCCATCGGAAGTATCGCCAGCGTGCCTTTTTGTGTCCGAAGAGGGACGGACCAGATGTGCACTCTGTTGCCGGTGAATGCCGGATCATGGCCGTGCTTGGTCACATAATGCTTTACATCCAGGCTGTGCTGGGTCTACTTAGGAGCTGCTCTGTATTCCGAGTGTTCCCAGTACAGACTGTTCCAGCTGGAATATAGGAGGGACTTCCCACTGCTCTCTTACCCTTTGAATCTGTATCCGTATCTGTATCAGCTCTAAACCTCTGTGGCTGATGCTGGCTTGAGTCCCACAGAGGGCTTACCGGTCCAGGTGACCCAAACTGAGGATCTATCCGTCTCAGATCCTCCCCAGCCAGCCTGTCAGTGAGCCCCCCCCCCTGCCCCTCATCAGCATGTGAAGGAATGTAAGTGTTAGTGCAGTACTGTGTGTAAATAAGTATCTAATTATAATATGTTTGAATTATTTTAGCATATAGTCAATAACAAACAAACATGGTTGAAGTTACAGCTTGTATTATGCACAACACACAAATTTGTGGTGAATTCAAATGTGCGGCTGAAAGAGTTACAGAATCTTCCAGAATAATCTAGAATATTTTAATGAATGGAGGTTTACTGGAAAAAAGGGTATGGTGTCTTTGTGTGGATGGGGTGGGGGTCGCGGGCCTTTTGGGTAGAGGCGATCCGGTGGAGAGGGGGGCCGGGAGAGGTCGTGTTTTGAGGTCTCGCCCACACTCTGCTGTTGGCAGGGACGACCTGGGGAGGGGAGGCAATGGCAGTGACTCAGCGAAGAATTTCACACACGAAAAGGAAGCGCTAGAGTCAGGGGGGCCATTTTGCCTTCGTCCGTTTCTGCTCCCCTTGTCAGATGAGTGTCATTTCTGCTCCCCTTGCCAGACGTCAGGCTCCATTAAGGCCGTCGAGAAGGGCACCGATTTAGGTTGTTTTTTTTTGTGTGAGGGGAGGGCACATCAGGAAGGGCCCCTGGCAACAGCCCTGCGAGGGGCCAGACGCAAGCATGTCGAGCCAGACCTGGGTTGTACTGGAGGCCCGCGATTAACGGCTGACGTGTCTCGCGCTGGAGTTTATAGTCTCGACACAATGGGTGTGTAAATCTTACAGTCGGGCCAAAGTCTGACCCTGTGTTTATGGAGTCGGGCTGTAAAGTTGTATACAGCCGGGCAGTAAATCCCAGCGGACGTCGCTTTGATTGAGAAAGGGCGGGCAGACGGGCGCTGCCACCGTGAGCAAGGAGCTGCCAGATAAGGATGCCTTCTCTCTGCCATGTTGCCTGATGTCCTCGCTGTCCGCAGTGCTACGCGTGTCCATCGGGGGTGCTGTGACAGAACCTCCATTCGAAAGATACGTGACACGCGCAGGTGAGAAGACAGAGACGGCGGGTGTGTGATTAACCGTGGACGTGCGTTTACGTAAATCCACATGTGTGTTGCTCTCTTGACTTGGGACACGTGAGAAGAGATGAAAAGGCAAAATAAATGATGCACACTTCTCGGGACAGCATGAGTCGTTTTTTTTCGCGTCCTGCCGCCGTCGTTTCTCATGTGAATCCTTTGGACCCCTGGTGACGTCGCAGCTACATTTCACACGTAGCCGTTAGGTCGCGTCAACATTGGCTCCAAGCTGAGCGTCCGTTGGATGTCGGCGGTTCTGGAGTGGGTAAGGAGAAGCCTTACCCCTCCCTACTGGCCAGGCCGGGGGGGGGGGGGCAGAGAAACCCTTGGGTGTTCTAAAAATGAGCGGGCCATTTTCACTGGACGATGCGTCCTCACGTGACAACAACGCAGACACAGGCTGAAGCTGAAGTTTACGCAGCAATCCATGGGCCAGGAGACGATAATTAAAAACTATAAAGCAATTGTGGGTGTTTCCTGGCTGCGGCAGCGTTTGTGACCCTCTTCTTGCGATTTTCAGTTGCACTCGGAAAGGAAAACGTGGACACACAAGTATGTACATGCAGCAGTAGGTGATGATATATAATTATCCGAATGTTTACAACAGGCAAACACTCGAACCTCACAGCAGAGCGACCTCCGCAGAAACGCCAGTGCGGGGTGGTTTTTTCGGGATGGTCCCGTGTTAGCATACCAGCTTAGAAGAGTGTTAGGGAGTGAAGGTGCCGATTTGTGCGTGTGTAAAGATGAGCAGCTGAGCGAAGAGCCTGGGGATGCCTCAGACGGCCGGCGTTTGGCTTTGCCGTTCTGTTCTTCCCTTTTTCTCCCTCCGAACAATGGTGGCACCGATACCATCTCCCTGGACGCAGAGGAAATGAAAGCTTTCTTATGCTGATGCTTCCTGTGAGCTCTTTGCCCAACTGCCAACCGAGCTGAGCAGGATATTGGTGAGCGAGGTTTGGCTCTCCTGTGTACGGGTGTACGTCGGCCCTCCTGTGTACGGGTGTACGTCGGCCCTCCTGTGTACGGGTGTACG